AAAAAAAACAAGGCTCAAGTTCACAGAGAAAGGAGTGAAGGCGAAGAAGAGAAAAGAACGGCGGACGTTAAAAATCCACAAAAAAATGGGGTTAAAATCCCAGGTGGATGGGTTGATCTGGTGTGTGTTGAGTTTCAGACTCATTTGCTTGCAGATTCTACGCGGGAGCAGGTACGCGTTCCAAATGTAATCGCGCTGGTTGGACTGCCAGCAAGGGGCAAAACGTATATATCACATAAACTGTGTCGCTATTTGAATTGGATCGGCATTAAAACAAAAGGTTTGTTATTGCTTCACAAAAAACACTTTCATATTCATTTTTTATGCGTTTTTGCACATATGCAAATTGCAAAAATGCATATTGGAAAGACGCTGTCTGTGTGTGTGTCTTTGGGTTCGCACTTTTTGTCACCCACTTTTAACTCAAGAACCAGAAAAGCCAGAAGGCTGAAACTTTGGGAGTATTGCCTATACTATGCGCGACTCTCCCGTTTTAATTTCATCTCCCGCGGACGCCTGAGTGCCGCGTACGGACGCTTTAAAAAAATATTCAAATTTTTTGGCAGGAAGCAATCTCGGGAACCACAAGAGCTCAAGAGCTGAAACTGTATAGGTATATTCTTTGTGCATGTACTAGCTAGAGATTTCAAATTCAGCCCCCAGGTATGCATTGTATTCACGTAAGAGCGTATGAAAGTTTTAGGGGGAAAATTGCTAACTTGGGTACCAGGAAAGCTGAAATTTTGGGGGAATGTTCCCTGTCCAAGTACAAATTAAGTATTTCAAATTCAGCCTTGAGGTATACGTGATTCTTATGTACGAGCACTTAAAAGTCTTGACGGAAAATTCTCACTGAACAACTAGTTACTTTTAAAAAACGACTGTTAAATGGACATTGTACATTTACTTTGCAAAATTTATGGTCATTTGTGCTAGTGACCACAAAAGGTTGGCGTAAAGCAACAGCCTTTCATGTAGTAATTGACCTGAGTACTTCAATTCCGGTGCAATAGCGCATGATCGCACGGGCCCGCCGGTGCGTCCCAGCCTGGGTTGAATAGTGCGTTCGGATTCCGGTTTTCGCCTTCTTCAAACCGTTGGAACGCATTAGTAAATGTTTGCAGCCCAGAATCGAAGAGCCTGGCATAGAGGTATGGGTGCATTCTAGTAACATGACTAGCGAAAAATACCCAAACTGATACTCCAGCAGTCTTGGTAGTAAATGTTTGCCTTAAAATTAAGCAATTTTTAAGTCAGATTGCGAGCGAAGATCAAACTGATTGATGATGGAGCTTTTTTAGTCATTTGAAGTTGTCGAATATTCCAATTGTCATCGAAATACTAAATGAGTTCTGGAATGTTGCAGTATTTAATAGAAAGCTGAAGTACCAAGAATACCAAAACTGCCCGAAGCATTGAAGATCACGTGTAACTGTTGTTAACAGGCTGGATGTAGCTATGCCAGGCTCTTCTTGATGCGAAGAATGAATTATTACTTAATTTTTAGTAATCAAAGTTTTTGCACCTTTGATTTTTCCAGCATTCAATGTGGGCGAATATCGCCGAAAGGCATGTAACACGGAAGACTGCGAATCGCAGTTTTTCAGTCCCTTCAACAAGACAGGCAGCAAGATCAGGGAGTATGTTTTGCTGTTTATAATACTGTCATACCGCCTGAAGCTATTATCATGCATGAGCGGAAGTGCAGCCAATCGCGTTTGCTCCTTTCATTCCCATTGCAATATCTGTTTCTACAGCAATACCACGAAAATTGCGTTCCAGACGGGAAGCTTTTGTGAAAGCAGCCTTTTTTGATATGGGCGATATAGCTAATATGGTTTGCTCATCCCGCTTTTTCCCCTCACGGTGAGAGAAAAAATTTTGCGGTTGGGAATATGTGTTTAAAAAATCCCTGCGCCACTCTTTTCAATTTCCTTGCCATTCTTTTTAGGAATTTCTGATGTCACTAAAGTACGGTTAAATGCCGAGCATAATAAATCCTGCCCTTTTTCACGTAATCTCGAGCCGTAGTAAGCTTACATCCTGGCAGTTTCCCCGGAAAAACTTGAACAGGGCCGCTACTCATGAACCTCTGCTTCTACATTCGCTTCTGTACCGCTTTCCAAGCGGCTTTTTTACAGAATCCGCCAAGACCCCAGTTTGCCTTGGAATATCTGCATCGAGAATTAGTCTTTTTTCCTAGTCGGAACTAGTCGGAGTTCGCTCTGTACATTCGTTTTCCGCTTTTTATTCTACAATTTTTATGCGTTTTTTGCAGCTATGCAATGCAGAAAACGTATACTGACAAGGGTTTGTCTGTGTGTGTGTGTGTGTTTGTATCTGTGTGTTTGTGTGTTCGTCTGTACCGATTTTTCATCTCGAGACTCACAAAAGCTACAAGGCTGAAACTTGGAAAACTTAATCTACATGCGTGTACGGGCCCCCATCTCCGGAATGGGCGCTCTTACTCGCGTGGCACCCAAGTACGGGTCCGTGAAAGTTTTTCGCGGGTAAGTCTCCAACTCGGGAATCAGAAAAACTAGGAAGCTGAAATTCTACAGGGACCTTCACTTCCCAAGTAAGTCTTAATGCGCTTCAAACCAGCCCCCGGGTACGCGTGGTACCCACGTACGGGTCCATGAAATTTTTTTGCGGATGGATCGCTAACTCTCGAGAACCTGAAAAAATAGAAGATTGCAATTTTAAGGGATGTTCCTCTTCCACGTAAGTGTCAACGAGCTCAAACCCAGGCGTCGGACACGCGTGGTACACACCTACGGGCCCGTGAAAGTTTTTTTCGAGAAAGTTGTTAACTCAGGAGCCAGGAAAGCTAGAAGACCGAAATTTTAAGGGGATGTTTCCTGACAGTCCTGGCGGCCAGTCTTAATTTGTTTAGCTAGAAACATTTGATAGAAAAACCGGTGCCGGTGGTGACAAAAACTGCGGGGAACTATGCAAAAAACGCATCTCCTCACGGGCAGCCTGTGCGTTGGCCAATTATTTTTTTTTTATGAAGCATTTTTCTTTTATGACTAGAAGCGCGAACTTTAGTTTTCAAAAATTTTGTGAATTCATAAATCAGTTTTAGCGCAGTGATGCGTGCCGCAGAGATCTTGTTTTACCAAAGTCAGTAACCTTAACGGGTAATTCTGGGACTTTTTTTATCCGACACGTTTTTTTAACCCTTGCGATCCCGAAGGCTCTAGACCCTCTGCTTCTGCCTTCGATTCTGTTGCGTTTATGGAGTTAGATGCAAAGGCAGTGGAAATGTATTTTATGAAGCGAAAGTGCGATCATTGTTTTTCTGGTTCTTGTAGGGACACGAAAAGCGTTTATGGAGGAAGAAAAAAGACCAAATTTTACTGGATATGTGTGGAATTTAATAAAGTGAACATTAAAATCGGCTATAAGGTGCCAAACTGAATCAAAGGGAGATGGAAAAAAGTCGGATCTAATGAGGTTTTTAGTTTTTCTTCGAGATGCGATAACTTATAATTTACAAAAAACGCTAATAAGGAGAAGCTCGCTTGAATTTGACGGAATTGCTCATTTACAAATGTTAATTTTTATAGTGAATGTGCACGACTTGCAATGGAGGACATGGGCAATTATTTGACGCGTAAAGAAGGCGAAGTGGCCGTGAGTTTTTTTCCGTTGAAAAAAAATTTTTTTAGCTGTCACTTTTGTCGAGCGAATTCACACAAACACGAGAACTAATGTTGCAACAGGGGTAGCTGGCTGTGCGCGAACCAATAATAAATGTGCTGTGGCAGAATCGACAATTTTAACAAACAAACGAATTTATTTCAGTGGTAAATTAGTATTGCCGCTTGTCAGTGAGTTAAAACCAGGTTTTCCTTGAGCAACCAATTCATGACAGCTCATGCAAACAGTTAATTATTTTCGTCCCCAAACACGCCGTTCGAACTAATGAGAACCCATGACCTGACAGCATTCAGCGAAGAGCAATTCTGTGGTTTCCCCCACCAGAATTTTGCGAGAAGCAGTTTGTGTCCGGAGCGGCTAAAATATCTGATACTTCATAGTCTGGCCCTTCATGCTATGAAATGACAGCTGTAGACCAAAGGAAGCAAGTTATAGGTGGCCTGAATTGTTGTCAGGCACTCTAACTGCTACATCGAAGTGAACTACAGACAGAAGAACTAGTAAGAGCGATGAACTGCTTTCGACACCGCAGTCTCTCAACATATGTCATAGGTCATTATGGTAATTCAGACGTTTAATCGCTGTGCGTTTTCGCGTACATAGTGCATTTGACAATCTTATGTAGTGGCGTTAGTGAGAGACCTTCCTGACATCAGTTCCTCTATACCATTTTTTCATTTGACCGGGAAGAAATGCTATAGGTAAGAACCTTCTTTTTTGCTTAGTTCTTGTTTTTATGGTGCATATATGCAAATGTAAAAATACACGTTGTCGCGACTCCGTAAGTATCCATGTATGTGCATATGTGCTTCTGTTCGGGTATTTCAACTCTACAACCAAGCAAGCTCCTGCGCCAAAATTTTGCCATTGGGTTCGCTGGCCATGTGCTACCCCGGGGACGCGGTACCAACAACCCTCACGTAAGTCCGGGCCTAACGTACAGCTTGGTGAAGTTTTTGGCAGACAAATTCGCTAACTCGGGAACCAGAAAGGCTTGGAAGCTGAAGTTTTGAGGGAATGTTCCCTGACCAAGTAACACGTAGTTGCACAATTAATTTCCTGAACTTCGAAGACCAATATGTCACAAATTCTAGCTACTTGAACTTCAACTGGTCTCATTACAGCACGAAATGCTGCTAAAACGCATGATCGCACGAACCCGCCTGGTGCGCTTTGCCAGTGATTTTCTGCGAGTGACATTCTCTGTTTTCCTTTTCCGCAGTTCCTTTTATGAGAAGGTGCGCTAAGAGCCCTGTGCTCCCGGTGCAGAACACGTGCTAGAGTGTCAGCGTAGAGCTTACACACTGTCGTTAATTTTGCAGTTATTTCGACAGTGCATTTCGATTTTCGCTTCGTGGTCTTTGATGCTTTCTTCCACACGCACGACTGGAATTGCAAAAAATGCAGCGTTATTTGCACACATGCTCTTTTTC